TCACATATTCTAAATATTCTAACCATGGTTCTAGCTGTTTGGCTGAACTGGGACATTAGCTCAGTGATACTTCTAGCAGTCTTGCAGGAAAGACACTGCTATTGTCCTCTTGCATTGTTAGTTGGAAGCAGAGAGAAGGACTTGACTAAGGTTAGCTAGCATGTGGCTCAGGCAGGATCTGAAGCCAAGGCATTGTAGCTCACAGATTATTTCACTTTTGACATGTCTAAGTCAAGTATCACCAGAATAGATCCCAGGCAGTAACAGCAGCAATAATAAACTATAATAAAAGTTGAAGTACGAAACGAGCCACAATGCAATAAAAGCTAAAAGGCAACGGCTAAGATGAAAAAGCTGGCCAAAAACAAGTGAAACTCATTCCATGTCACTGGAGAAGACTGTAGCGCATCTGCTTTGCACACAAAAGCTCTCAGGTTCCATCCTCAACATCTCTAACTAGAGCTGGGAGATACCCTGGTCTGAAGTCCGGAGTCACTGCCAGCAGTGTTGACAATATGAAGCTTGGTGGACCAGTGCCCTGTTAATGCAGTGGATTGCCAATGCTTCTGACAGCCATTGTTCGACAGCAAGGGGCCACATTCCTTCACTAGCAACTTTCCAGGGGCAGCATGCAATTGGTGAGTGGGACAAGGGAGGAAAGTGGGTGGGGCAAAGGCTGCCACTCTTTCAACAGTGGGGTACATTACAGCCACATCATAGTCAGAGGTTTACACACACACACACCTTCATCCTCCATGCAAGCAAGCAAGAAAGCAAGAGCTCCTTTCACAGTTCAAGGACACATTCCAGCCAGGCAGAAGCATTCGAGGGGAGTGCAGAGTAGGACTGGTGAGAGATGAGGTCTTAGAACAGTATTGGGGAGAGGCTTGGAGGGTCACAATTGGCCCTCATGCCTGAGGTTCCCCACCCCAGTTGTGGAAAGAAGCATGTCAAAATGTCCACCTGATCCCCAGGCTGAGCCAGTCCTCACACGGCTATGGGCTTCCCAACATCCACCAGCAGCTTTTCTAATAAAAATGTCCAAAGCAGCAGTAATTTATCAAGATTTCAATCACAGAGTCCTGCTAAAATGGACACCATGACCTAAAACCTCCCCTCCTCTTCTACAAGCAGCAGCATAAGGTAAAGGTAAAGGTACCCCTGCCTGTACAGGCCAGTCTTGACAGACTCTCACTCAAGAGGCCGGGGGCCAGCGCTGTCCGCAGACACTTCCAGGTCACGTGGCCAGCGTGACGAAGCTGCTCTGGCAAGCCAGAGCCGCACACGCCGTTTACCTTCCCGCTAGTAAGCGGTCCCTATTTATCTACTTGCACCCGGGAGTGCTTTCGAACTGCTAGGTTGGCAGGCGCTGGGACCGAACAACGGGAGCGCACCCCGCCGCGGGGATTCGAACCACTGACCTTTCGATCGGCAAGCCCTAGGCACTGAGGCTTTTACCCACAGCGCCACCCGTGTCCCAAGCAGCAGCATAAAGGAGACCAAAAGATCGGCTCAGAAAGGCCTGCGTCAATAAAAGTCATGATGTGGCAACAAGCAAGGCAGCTGGACAAAACAGGGAAGGCAAAACAGATGCCATTGTGGAGCAGAGCCTCTCCAGATGAGCAGAGGGACTGGGGGTGGGGATGAGAATAATTCAGAAGCAGGCAATCCCTAAGGTAGGATGGGCATAGGTCTCATAGGGCCTTCAAGGTAAGAGCCAGAACACTGACTTGAGTCAGGAAATGATCCCTGATCGTTGGCTATGCTGTCTGAGGCCAGTGGGAGCTGGCATCCAGCAACCTTTGGAGGGTTACAGGTTTCCAGTCCCTGCTCCGAGTCCACACAATGGCTCCTTCCTGGACACTGGCTCTCAGCTGGGTACAAGCAAACCTAGCTGGGTGCAAGAACAATGTAGGCTATTTGCATGTTCAATTAGTAATCAACAAGAGTTGATGGGACTGATGGGAACTGGGGCCTTAGCACAGTGGTAAAGAGTGCATGCTTTGTCTGCAAAAAGTCCCAGCTTCAATCTCCAGAATGGGCTGGGAAAGACCCCTTTCTGAGACCCTGGAGAGTCACTCCCAATCTGTGTTGACAATGTCAAACTAGATGGACTCAGTCTAAGGCAGTTTCACAGGCTGTATATTTCTCTCCTCCTAACAGACTGATCCTAAGCACATTATGCAGAAGTACGTTCCGCTGAAACCAGTTTAGCTTATTTTCAAAGAGTGTGTTCAGGTATGAGCGTGTAAGCCCATTAGCTATGGAAAACTCCTTAGCTGCTCTGCACAGTAGTATATGAATGGAGATTGGGTCTGCAGTGCTGAACGGATAGCTCCTTCTCTCTCAAAACTCTTCCTAGCTGCAAGTTGGTGACTTGAGAAAAAGACATCAGAATCCAGAAAACTCAGAAGCTAATGGGCCTTATGACAAAGCAATTGTCGTTCAGTCACCATTGTCTAATAACATATATGGATAGGGCTGTCACCATGTTTGCCAATATCTGAGGAATTAGGAGACAACTTTTGATCCAACAAATATTTAATATACTAAAAGGGGGAAAGAAGGAAGGAGTTGTTTTGGCATAGCAGAGGTGCAAATATAATATAATTTAATCTAATGTAAGTTGGATCCAAGTGTGGATGTGATTCCCAATTTTAAAAATGGAGAAATGGTGTGTTGTTGTTTTTTAAAAAAATATTGGCTTCTATATTATTTTTTAAAATGTTTGCTTTCCCCCCTTCTTCTTCCCCATCCCCTTTTCCTTGTGTGCCCTGTCTTTTTAGACAGCTCATGGGGAGGGACTGCCTTGTTTTAACTGATTAAGGCACTCTGGAAGGTAGGGTTGAAGCACTCTGAAAATCTATACTGGAAACTAATGAAGAAAAATCGCTCATTTCAGGGATAGGGAATTTGTGGCCCTACAGCTTGTTAGACTCCAGCTCCTATCAACCCCATCTAGCATGGCCAATGCTCAGGGATGGTGGGAGATGGAGTCTTAGTGGTTTCTGCCACAGGATTCTCATCCCTGATTTGTCCCAAGGTATCTTTTCTCTTACAACCACAGGCTAATGTAGAGCTGAGCTGAGAGTTCCCTATGAACAACTTTCATCTCAAGATGGTGTGTGTGTGTTGAACTTATAATGAAACTCCTGGCTGATTTGGGGAGTGCGGGGGCTGGCAAAATCCACAGAAAGCTACAAAGCCTTAAAGGTAAAGGTAAAGGTGCCCCTGACCATTAGGTCCAGTCGCGGATGACTCTGGGGTTGCGGCGCTCATCTCACTTTATTGGCTAAGGAAGCCGGCGTACAGCTTCCAGGTCATGTGGCCAGCATGACTAAGCCGCTTCTGGTGAAACCAGAGCAGCGCACGGAAACAGTGTTTACCTTCCCGCCAGAGCGGTACCTATTTATCTACTTGCACTTCAAGCTTTCAAAGTGCTAGGTTGGCAGGAGCAGGGACTGAGCAACGGGAGCTCACCCCGTCACTGGGATTCGAACTGCCAACCTTCTGATCAGCAAGCCCTAGGCTCTGTGGTTTAACCTACAGTGCCATCAGGCGTTCTCTTTTTAAACTTAGTTTTCATCCATGGAGATCCACCTGGGTGCCCTTTCTTCTACCCAGAATTCCAAAGGAGAAAAATGGTGGTTCTGCTCTTGCAGCAACAGGTGATGGCAAAACTAAGTTTCTGAAAAATGGGGCAGGGGAGACAGGGAACCTCTGACAACAGTGACAGCAAGCAGGTAGCACCCCAAAAATTGATGAGAATTTCATTCGCCTCCAGGGAATGAAATTTCCCCACTCTTGCCCCCCACCCATAAAGAGGTTGCCAAATTGAGCGGGAGGCACTTTACCTCACCAGGACTATAAAGCCAGGTTATCTGTCCTCACTTCTCTCTGCGTATGGTTAAGCAGATGTTTTGCATGCAGAAGCTCCCAGGCAGGGGTTAGAAAGACCTCCATCCGATACCCTGTAGACCAGCTTTCACCATCCTGGTACCAAACACCAAGAGAGCCCCAGTTTTGCAAAGGCAGGAGTCAACAATCCTGAAGCAGACAGACCAGTTGTTTCTTCTTTTGAATCAGATACTCTTTTGGTCTAACTAAATGTCAAGTGGCTTTTAGACTGGGGTATTTCCCAGGCTTACTTGGGAGACATCAGGGATTGAACCCGGGATCTTCTGCATGCAAAGCAAGTGTTCTCCGCCTGAACTGTGGACCTTTCCTACCCTTCAATTCACCAGCCTTGTAAAGAGGAGCAATGAAGCAATGAATGGGGCTTTCCCTGGTTCCAGGGTTGAGCCAGGAGGGACTCAAGGAAGGACTCAATTGAACCACCCCACTTCAGATTAAGCCCTGAGATGAAGATTCACCCAGCCCCCTTCATCCTGGCTCCTCCAGGCCAGTCGCAGGAGCAGAGGAGAGCCACGCAACACGTTCCCTTGAAGAAGCACCACAACAAAGACCCGGAAAGCAGCCCACGCACACCTTGCCTCGAATCACCAAACGCACCGCCACCTTTTCCAGCCCTCCATCTCCACCACCAACCAGACAACCAGCCCGGTGATCAAACCAGCCAAACTGCCCCTTGCCTCCATTTGCCTGCCATTACTGGCTGACACCGAGAGAGAGAGAGAGAGAGAGAGAGAGAGAGAGAGAGAGAGAGAGAGATGCTCGTGGTGTTGAAAGTGACCTCATTTTGCCTTGGGAAGCGGATCCCCACCAAGCGACCTTGAGTGCCAGCTCCTATTAGCCATGCTTCAGAAAAGTCCCAAGCTCGGGGGGCGAAAAGAGAGAGGGGGGGGGACACCGTGGAGGATTGCCGAGATTTCTCAATAAATACACAAACGGGGGAAAGAAACGGGGGGGGTGAGTCTCTTTGCTCCACAGGCACAGGCGTGTTGCACTAGCTCCTTCCACCCTACCCAGGCCAAAGGAAGAGCGCCAAGGAGCCTGGCACAGGGAGCGGTGGCTGGTGTCTGGGGCGAGCGATCTCTTACCTTGAGGAGCAAAACAAAGAGCCACAGCCGGGAGAGGCAGCTCATCGGGGCGCCGCTGCTGCTCCGTCCCTGGGCGAGATGACCCCTGACCATTGGAAAGGAGAGGCGCGGGGGGAGAAGGACCCCGAAGCAGAGCCGCCACGCCGCCTGGATGTGGAGCTCCGGCAGCAAGGCAGAGCCCCGGGAGAGCCCAGGAAAGAGACGAAGCGCCTGCAGACAGAGACACAGAGGCAGCCGGAAGGTGTGTGTGTGTATGTGCGCGCGCGCGCCTGTGGGCTCGCCTCTCCAAACTGGGGTGACAATGGCGAGCCTTCTCGGAGCTGCGGCACCGTCAGATCCGCAGCGCAGCCTTCCTGTCTCGCTGGGGGAGACCCATCTCCTCTTTCCCCCCACCCTCCTCGCTGCTCCCCCCTCCTCGCTCCTCCTCTTCCTTTATGGCTGGAGAAGTCCGGGGTCTCCTTCCCCCTCCCCCTTTCCTCCTTCAATCGCAGCTCCGGCGGCTTAAATGGCCAGGGAGCTGACCAGGGACCGGCGATCGGAGCTGGCCAGCTGCTAGCTGCCTCCTTCTCGCGCCTTTCCCCTCCGCCGCTGCCGCCCGCGCTGGCTGTCTCGGAATGAATGGAGCGCCTTCATGCCAAGCACGCCGCCGAAAGCGACGAGGAGACGCCCTCTACCTCGCGGGAGCCTCCGCCCTTCCCTGCGCTCCGCCCCCTCCTGCCTTGACAGAGCCATCCATACCCACGCCCCAGCCACGCACAGGCCGGTTTCCAAGGGCTTTAGCTCTCCTACCGAGTCGTTATTTGTTGTTGTTTAGTCGTGTCCGACTCTTCGTGACCCCATGGAGGAGAGCAGGCCAGGCACTCCTGTCTTCCACTGCCTCCCGCAGCTTGGTCAAACTCACGCTGGTAGCTTCGCAAACACTGTCCAACCTGGGTCCAAATCTCCAAACAACCGTGACATTTACAGGTGTGGGGTGGGGCCAACTCTCAGCTTAGTTGTAACATCGGGTGTACAAGAGAAGTGTGGGGTGCCAGTTCTGAAATGTTGCACATCTCCTTAGGAACATAGGAATTTGTCTTACACTTTGGTCCACGTTGCCCATTAACCCCAGCTCTCTCCATTCTCTCCCAGCCCTACCTGAAGATGCCAATGAGTGAACCTGTATCAAGATGCGGGACTCTTTCATTCATTTTAACCTTCCCAAGAGTGAGGTGATGGTTGGTTGATTGATTGATTGATTGATTGACTGACTGACTGAACAGCTTCTCCAAATGAAAAACAGCTTAATCAGCCCTTATATTTGAATGCCGAATGGAAAGTCAGAAAAGGAAGTGTGAAGATGCCTGCGAAAGGGATTAAAGCCAACATATATTAGGAAATGAGAAAGGGAGAGGACACTTCCTTGAGCTCAGAAGGAGAGGTGGGATATTTAAATAATCAATTGGGTTTGGGTGAAATTAATGACTCAGTGTGTCTTTTGCCACTTCTACAATGGGATAAATCAGGTATCCTAGGTGAGAAGGGACAAAACTGAAAACTATTATGCTTCAGCTTTTGTATGTGCTCTGGCACTGGGCTACGGCCTCCCATGATATTTGAGGATCAACACAAAAATCATTTTAATGCACATTTTTGTTGCATTGGGTGCGTTGTCCCTGTAAATTAAGGACCGCCTCCCCCCATACGAATCAAACTGGGCCCTATGCTTCTCTTCGGATGCCCTTCTCTATGTGGCCCTTATGAGGCCCTACAGATTCAGAGGGTTGCAACACAAGAAAGGGCCTTTTCTGTGGTGGCTCCCCACCTGTGGAATGCTCTCCCCTGTGAGGCTCGCCATCATTACAGATCTTTAGGCACCAGGTGAAAATATTCCTCTCTACTTCTTGGCCATTAAATAAACTATAGCCTGTTAAATGTGGGAGTACTGTTGTTACAGAAGGGTCTGTGTGTGTATTTACTGGTAGAATACTTAGCTAGGCTTTATTTTAGAAAACGGGTAATGGGCGGAGGGATTGGTAACAAGAGGCTGTCTGGTTTTTCCCAAGACATTTGTATTTTACATCCCATAACAGGTACGTTTGACAGCTCTTTATATCCGTGCACTTTTCATAAGGAAGATGATTGGCAGCTCTCAAGTGGATGGCCCATGAGCGGTGGTGTTCATATTATTCTTATCATGTCTGGGAAAGCATCAAAATACATGGCGGGGTCTGCTGGCTTTCTCAAGAATTCAGAAGCACACATTTTCAGTGTTTTTCCTTCTGACCTTTTGGACTTTGTTTTCCTAGCAATCTCTCCCGCTCTCACATATCTCTTTTTAGGCTGATGACCACAATAGCTGCAATCCTGGCCCAATGAAATCAGCAGGAGTTTTGCTGCTGATTTATTTTCCTTTCTTTTTTAAAAAAAATTATATATTTTTATTTAGATTTAAGGAAAACACACACAAGAACCCAGGAACCTGCGCCGTAGCCCTATAAAGGACAAATTGTGATGGTGAAAGAAAATGCTGAGTACAGTTCAAGAACAAATATAATCATAAATAGCTATTCATATTGAAGCTAATATGGAGCAAAAAAAGGAATTAGAAGGAACCTGTAAATAATTAGTTACTTAGCAGAGAGTAGCTCTAGACCAGGGCAGCCAACAATAACAATAAATTTATTATACACCGCCCATCTGGCTGGGTTTCCCCAATCACTCTGGGCGGCTCCCAACAGAATATTAAAAACACGATACAGCATTAAACATTAAAAACTTCCCAATACAGATGTCTTCTTTATAAGATAGTTGTTTATTTCCTTGACATCCGATGGGAGGGCATTCCACAGGGCGGGCGCCGCTACCGAGAAGGCCCTCTGCCTGGTTCCCTGTAACCTCACTTCTCACAGTAAGGGAACCACCAGAAGGCCCTCAGCGTCCAGGCTGAATGATGGGGGTGGGCCACATTGACTCATGCATCAACATGAGTAAAGTAGAACAATTAACACCTTTTGTTTTCGTTCCATCTAAAGTCAGTCTTCCCTTAATCAAATCCTCCCTAACCTTAAAAAAAAAATCCCTCCATTGTCTTTATATATTTATTTCTAAATACATTATTGTGTTTCATTTATTTATTTACCGTATTTTTCGCCCTATAGGACGCACTTTTTCCCCTCCAAAAATGAAGGGGAAATGTGTGTGTGTCCTATGGGGCGAATGCAGGCTTTCGCTGAAGCCTGGAGAGCAAGAGGGGTTGGTGCGCTCTCCAGGCTTCAGGAAGCTCTGCGCAACCCTCGGGAGACCGGCGCGACTTCGCGCTGGTCTCCTGAGGGCTGCGCAGAGCTGCCTGCATTCCGAAGCCTGGGGTGCGCTGAAGAGCGCGCCTGGGCTTCGCGTAGCTCTCTGCAAGCCTGGGGAGACCGGCGCGACTTCGCTCCCTAGGCTTGCGGATAGCAGGCTGTTCTCGGGGCTGGGGTTGGGGGAAGCTCGGGCTTCCCCCGCACCAGCCCTGCGCCTGGGGGGGAAATAATTTTTTTCCCCTTTATTTCCCCCCCAAAAAACCAAGGTGCATCCTATGGGGCTGTGCACCCTATGGGGCGAAAAATATGGTGTATTTATATCTTTTTATTTCAGTCTTATAAGAAGAAGTAAGAGTAGCATGTAAGCTCTGTGCTCTACTACTGAGACATGGGCCTTCCTTGTAGGAAGGCGGTAGACCCACTGGGGCATCTTGCCATGGGCCGCCTAAAATCTAGAACCAGCCCTAGGGGGTGCAGTGTGTTTGTTTAGTGTGGCAAGCAGTTTTCTTCCCACTCACATGTGTCGTAACATGAGGCATGCAATGAGTTTGCAGCTCAAAAGATTCTCAATCACACTAGATCTGCAAGGAATGGTGGGGTCTCTCCGTACAGCAGTAATGTGTCTAAACACTCAGATACCTCATGACTTTTTGCTGCTTACACCCTCTTCCCCCCAAAAAACCCTTGTCAATTACTTTTGTCAGCTGCCACTTCAGCTTCTGATCAAAATCTAGCCACAATTAAGAATGAAGAGGAGGAGACCCAGAAACAGAGCTAGTTTGGGGCATTATATATATTTTTTAAAGCCCATGCAGTGTTCCATTATGTTTCCATGAGCTCAGTTGGCAAGAAGAAGCAGGCAAATGGGGTAGGTGATTTTCTATTCTGGTGAGGCATTGACCCTCTCTTCAACTCTCTGGATTACCTTGTACTAGCCATTTATCTCCCCCTGCTCTCTATTTGTATCATTCAAGGCTGTGTGTGCGGTCGATGGAAGACTGCTGAGGTCTTTCATTGTCAGCCCCCCCCCCCCCATTTCACCTTCTGCAAATATAGCTGCTACAGTTGTTACATGAAATCATTAGGTCTACTTTGCAAGTCACGTTTTGCACTTGGGTTTCTGCACCTGCTGTAGGGAGAAGTGAGGGGCTGACAAACCTGGGAAGGTAGCCCACCTAGGAGAAGGAAAACTCTGGTCCTCAACCTCTGCTGCCTTGTGGGATATCTTCAGGAGAAGAATAGGCTAAGGAGTAAACCCTACACAAATCCCGAGTGTGGTCCCGAAGATGGTTGGGTGGCACCTACTTCCAACAACTCCTGCAGGTGAGCTGGTGCCAAATGTCTTGCTCTGCTTTCCTTTGGACCACATGAGTGAGGTGATCTTGTTATCTGGGCAGCCCAGGACCTTCATACACACTGCCCAGGCTTGTGCCCCAGGGAGGTCACTTGGGTGCTGCTAACGCAGCCGTTTGACTCCACCCCCATAGGTGTGCTCCATTGGCTCTCGAGACAACTGCCTCTAACAGTTGAGATGCAGCTTCTTCTTCTTCTTCTTCTTCTTCTTCTTCTTCTTCTTCTTCTTCTTCTTCCTTCTTTGGCGATCACTCATAGCCAAGTAAGATTGTCTTCCATAAACACGGTTTTAACAATGAGTCCGTAAGTGACTGTGGAGGCCAATTCTGGATCCACACGTCCTTCCACAGTGGGGACATTGGTTTTTGGGCAGGAGTTGATCACGGTGTGGATTTGCCAAGCGTGTCTTTCTCTTAGCATGTTTCTCCCTTGCATCCTGAGTTTGAGTGTCTTCAAAGCCCATGACACCTTTGGTAAAGGCTGTTCTCCAACTGGAGCACTCACAGGCCAGTGTTTCCCAGTTGTCAGTGTTTATATTACATTTTTTAAAGATTTGCCTTGAGACAGTCTTTAAACCTCTTTTGTTGACCACCAGCATTATGCTTTCCATTTTTAAGTTTGGAATAGAGTAGTTGCTTTGGAAGACGATCATCAGGCATCCGCACAACATGACCAATCATTACTAGGAATCATGGCTAGTAATCAAGGCTGGCTGGCTGGCCAAAATACCACCAGAGGAATCTCCACCGGTGATAGCATGCAGAAAGCCCCAAGGGGCATTCCAGGGGCAGCAAGGATCTGAGGTGACCCTCTTGCCATCACTTGATAGCATTAGGTCCTAACGCGGCCTGTTCCAGGCTGGAACAGTGGTGCTGAAGTCAGTTGACTTCCCTTCTGCCCTAGTTGACATGAGCAGTGAGGCTGTGGATGCAGGAATGAGCTGCCACTATGTTACAGCCTATAACTGCCCAGCCAGGGCTTTGACTGTCCTGTTCGGCTTGTTACAGAAAAACAGCACAGCATCATCAAATCTGTCAGGGACCAGCAACAGGTTTCTGCTCCATCAGCTTTGCCAAAATCATCAACATGTAGCAAACACATGGTTTACCTTTTCAGACTGCCTGCTGACCTGCAAATCAAATGAATTACGCAGCTATGAAACAACAACAACAACAACAACAATAACAACAATTTATTATTTATACCCCACCCATCTGGCTGGGCTTCCCCAGCCACTCTGGGCGGCTTCCAACAAAATATTAAAATACAGTAATGCATCAAACATTAAAAGCTTCCCTAAACAGGGCTGCCTTCAGAGGTCCTCTAAAAGTCTGGTAGTTGTTCTTTTTGGCATCTGGTGGGAGGGCGTTCCACAGGGAGGGTGTCACTACCGAGAAGGCCCTCTGCCTGGTTCCCTGTAACCTCACTTCTCGCTGTGAGGGAACTGCCAGAAGGCCCTTGGTGCTGGACCTCAGTGTCCGGGTAGAACGATGGGGGTGGAAACGCCCCCTCAGATATACTGAACCGAGGCTGTTTAGGGCTTTAAAGGTCAGCACCAACACTTTGAATTGTGCTCGGAAATCTCTCATTTGAAAAGTGCATCAATAACATAACACAAAACTCCCCCCGGTTACATTTCTGATCTAATTAAAAATAAATAAATACAAAGAGCTTAGCATAGCATGAAATTGCCTCCCATTTTCCGTTTTCATATAGCAGAATAGGACCAGTCCCAAGTATGAATGTTCCATGTGTTACAGAGATGCCTACGAGGCTGTTGAAGTGTGTTTCTCCAAGCAGCAGCCCAGAATCGAAGGTGTTCCGAAATTGTCAGAACAATCTGATGCTTTTGGACGGATGAGGATGCTCTGGTGCACCCACCCAATCAGCAGCCTGCAACTCACGCCAGGCAGCCAATTAATCAATACTGTTTACAGTACATGTCACAATGACATGAGGGAAGCCTCAGAAGAAACAAACAGTGCATGTTTAAGCTGCAATAATTGAATGCAAATCTGTTTGTGAACTACCAGCGCCTGTCGGAGCAAAGTGTCCATTGACATTCCCCCAATACTGGGAAATTTGCAGTTATGAAATATTGAAGAGCAAGGGTTCCTTGCACTGGAAATTGTAAGTAGCTAAGAGTACCGCTGGGAGGAGCGCAGAGAGAAGAAACGCCATGGTGCATCTGCAGCAGCACAACTGGACGCCTTCATCTGCCTCGGCTGCAACAAAACATGTCTCTCCCATGTCAGTCTCTATAGCCACAGCAGTAGATGCAACCATCCATCAGCTTGACCTCATCCCCAAAGGCACACACCTTCCTTGTCTCCTGAGACAGAGGAATGCCGACCAATCAAGAGTGAATACTCACCTTACTGTACACATTTGTCAGTATTTACATCCTTAGTTTGGATGAACTTAGAGAGTAGTTCTTAATGATATGATTATTTCTATACATCAGAAGTGCATTTGGCACCTTCCTTGTATAGCTTTAAATATCTAAATCTGTATCTGTAATGTGCCACCCATCCAATCAAAATCTGCCATCTGATCCCTTCTATAGTGGACTACTCTATTCCGAACTTAAAAATGGAAAGTGTAATGCTGGTGGTCAACAAAAGAGGTTTAAAGACTGTCTCAAGGCAAAACTAAAAAAATGTAGTATAAACACTGACAACTGGGAAACACTGGCCTGCGGGTGCTTCAGTTGGAGAACAGCCTTTACTAAAGGTGTCAAGGGCTTTGAAGACACTTGAACTCAGGACGCAAGGGAGAAATGTGCTAAGAGGAAGGCATGCATGGCAAACCCTCACCATGATCAACTCCCACCCAGAAATCAATGTCCCCACTGTGGAAGGATGTGTGGATCCAGAATTGGCCTCCACAATCACTTATGGACTCATTGTTAAAAGCGTGTTTATGGAAGACAATCTCGCCAAAGAAGAAGATAAAATAGGAGGTGGGAAGGACTGTGGCTCTTCCGATGTTAGAATCACAGGATTGTAGAGTTGGAAGGGACCACAAGCGTCATCTAGTCCGACCTCCTACAATAAGGGATTTTTCACCCCAAGTGGGGCTTGAACCCATGACCTTGAGATTAAGAGTCTCATGCTTTACCGCCTGAGCTATAAGGTCAGCATGTCAGGCAGTGGTCTTCCTCCAGAGGGCAAAGGTTGTTCTTTCCCTCTTCTGTTGGCTTGGCAGATGGATTTTGACTGATGTTCAGAGTTTGATGGATCAACATAAATGGTGTCAGAAAGCTCGCGTTTCTCCCCCCCCCCCTTTCAGCATTCAGCTTTGCTCATTATTTAAGCCATCTGCATGGTTTCATCAAAAACATTCCTTGCCTCTGTTGGCATTTGGTCATAGAGTGACATGTTCCCTCCCGAGACGGGATTATTTAGATGAATATTCAAGCATGGGTGAGCGGATTTTCCCATTCTGTTACTTTCTTGTTCCACGGATTCCCTCTGCCTGCTTTCCACATTCCTGAACACAGATTGAATTGGGAATATTTCTAAAATTTACCCCTGAACTCCAGCCTGAACATTTTGCTATAGCTTAAGAGTCCCTCGCACTTGTCTGGCAGCTTTTTCAACTCTGCATTACTCAAGGGCATTGATACAACACCATAACAAATTAATAATTGCATCAAGGTGTCTTTTGTACAGTGTTTTAGCAATGAACCCAAGTCCTCAGATGCTGTGTCCCTTTCAGGTCATCCAGCTTTTTCTGTGGTGGCACTCAATAAGTGGAACTTCTTGCCCCAAGAGATTAGTTTAGCATTGCTTTTATTCGTGTTCCGCCAACAACTGAAAACTTTCCATTTTAAACATGCCTTTTCTGATTCTGTTACTACTAAGCAAATTGATCTGTGGCGCTGTCTCTTTTTGCTTTTGCTGCTGTTCTTATTGGACTGCTTGTGATTTTTAACAGTTACATCACACATAGCTTTTAGGTTTGCTTTTATATTTAAAGGCAAGCCTACTTAATTCGCACTTTCCAATTCAAAACGCAGAGCAAAACACAGCCATCAATTGAAATCTGCGTTTCTCCAATACAATGCGGCGCAGTTCTCAAACCAGGTATATACTAGTGCATATATTAGTGAAAATGACATACCCCCCCCAAAAAATGCATCACATTACAGGAAAATGTTTTGCAAAAATGTGTATATTAGGCAGAATTGCATGCAAAAAAATGCTTATATTAGAAGAAATTTGCAAGAAAATGCTGGTGAATTTTCATGATAACTTTTTTGCAAGATAAAAAAAAAAAAGATCTCCAACTGATGTGGAAATGTGAGAACTGAACTTGAGAATGGAAAAATGAGAAACTGACCCCAAAAGCTGTAATGGAAAGATTCACTCATCCCTATACACCAGCTCCCAATCTCCAAGCGCATCTGTGGCTGCAGGTTCCCCGTCTATCCATCAATGTTTATGAACAACAAAGATGTTCAGAAACCATCCTTTAATTATTCCAAGGACATCATCTGCAAAGGAGGGGGAACGGAATGTGGCATAGAAAAAAATCAATATTAATGCGCCACATTAAATTAGATCAACCCCAGATTACCAAAGACATTCTATTCCATACAGTATCCTGCACATTTAATTTGTGGTTTGCTTTTCTGAATAAATTAGCGCCGTCATAGTAGAATTAATTAAATTGGCATTAAAAATATATCAACTGCTTAGTATTCTTCTGCGAGAAAGACAGGGTGGGTGGGAAACCCTGCAATGAATGTATCGTGCCCCTAGGAATAGGAATGTCATTAGCAACTAAGAGAAATTAAAGAATGCTTGCACACACTTGGGTGACATTTACAATTAAAACCACTCATTCAGCGAGATCTCTTTATTAACTCACCATCCTGGGGAAGCTTCGCTGAATTTTGAAGAGGGGACAGAGAGACTGAAAGATGGGTGTGTATTCTTAAAAAACTTGCCAAGCTGCAACTAGAATCCAGTTTGGCCCTGACTTGCTAGCTTTCTGTGTGTGGGGATTATTATTGCCATTCTTTCTTTTTATCTAGGACCATTCAAATATATGTCTCAACTCTGAGTCTGAAATGGTGTAGCCAGACACGGGGTCACCACCTGGAAAACCGACAGTCAAAACAGGATATTTGGAATAAAGCTTGGAAACACTTCTACCTCTTGTTTGATTATCAGAATCTGATATAGATCCAGACTTAGTTACCTTTAAAATAAGCACAGTGACATTGCCAAGACTTCTCTTCACTTAGTCAAAGTTTCCCATTGGATCTACCCTGAGCGTGACTTTCAGTGCAATCATAATCATGTCTACTCAGAAGTAAGACCTACTGAATTCAATGGAGCTTGCTCCTAGGTAGGTTGCAGCCCAAATTTGGGTCCAACCGTATCTCTCTGGCTGCACACAAAAGAATTGCCTTTCTGGAAGGTCCATTTAGCTCAATATCCGATTTCCATATTTAATCACATAAACTACACAGTTGTGAAATGTCATGAGCAGAACATGGTGGTGATGTTTTGGAGCTCCTAGGCAGAACAGTATGGCAACAGATTTGGAACTTTGGAACTCCCTGCCCATTGAGATTATTTTGGGTGCCTGCCAAAACCCTTTTGTTCCAGCAAGTTCCCCAGGCCTATAATTTTGACAAATGATTTTACTAGGTAGGTTGTAGTTGCTGGCACCTGTTTGTCTCGGGAAACAATGAAAGAGTGTGACTTCAGGACTGAAATCAAACTGTTGGAGAGTTACAGCACCTGTTGTGGTTGCAGAGACTGATAAGTGTTCCTAAAAGTTACTGGTTTTACTTTATCTTTTGTTTTAACATAGCTTGATTTTAATGTTTTTTTATTTTATTTGGTCTTTTATTTGGCCTTAAAAACTGCTTAGAGATCTTTCGTTTTAGTAAGTGGTATACACCGTATTGGCCCGAATATAAGCCACACACGAATATAAGCCACACACGAATATATGCCACACACGAATATAAGCCACACACGAATATAAGCCGCACCTTTAAAAAAAATTGGGGGGGGGGAGACAATACCCAAATATAAGCCATTCCCTTAAAATTCTGTAGGCACTCACATCTTTTCCATTTTGCCATGGGTCTGTTTCAGCAGCGATATCATAAAAGCCCATTTTTGTAAGGTTGTGAATTTAAGCCGCACTTTAACTTTTCATGGTCAGAATTTGGGGCAAAAAAGGTGAGGCTTATATTCAGGCCAATACAGTAAGTTTTGTAACAGCAAATCAATAACTTTTGATCCTGATGTGGATCAAATTGCATGGTTTTCCCCCGTGGTTATGAAACAGCCACTTGCATGGTTTCCCCCCGTGGTTATGAAACAGCCACGATTACACAAACAAACATCAAAATAAATATTAAAAACAAGACTAAAAGCAATTGTGCATAAATGAACAGATCCAGTTCAGCCCTACTTCAAAATATGCAGAAAACTAAGGTCCAAAGGTCTGCATGGATATAAAAGTGTTTTTGCCTGGTGCCTAAAAGCAGATAGTGATGGTACCAGGTGTGCCTCTCTGGGAACAGAATTCCTCCAGGGACAGGGAGCCACCACCGAAAAGGCCCATTCTGGTGTCACTTCGCTTGTGGGGAGGCACACAGAGACGGGTCCATGCACTACATATTGAGTCACTGAGTTCCACCTATTAATAAAGGTAAAGGTACCCCTGACCATTAGGTCCAGTCGCGGACGACTCTGGGGTTGCAGCGCTCATCTCACTTTATTGGCCAAGGGAGCCGGCGTACAGCTTCCGGGTCATGTGGCCAGCATGACTAAGCCGCTTCTGGCAAAACCAGAGCAACGCACAGAAACGCCATTTACCTTCCCGCTGGAGCGGTACCTATTTATCTACTTGCACTGTGTGCTTTCGAACTGCTAGGTTGGCAGGAGCAGGGACCGAACAATGGGAGCTCAACCCGTCATGGGGATTCGAACCACTGACCTTCTGATCGGCAAGTCCTAGGCTCTGTGGTTTAACCCACAGCACCACCCGTGTCCCTTCCACTTATTAATACTGTACTGCATTTCCTTTTATTTGAAACTACTGCCTTCCACTCTTGCTGACTGACCCACCCAGAAGTCATGTCTACCTGCTGCTTGATAGGAGAAGAGGCTGTAAAATCAGCTCCTAGCCTTTCCTATCAAACGAGCAAACAAGCCCATTGTAGCCTGCTTTTCAATCAGCTTAAGGAAAGCCCCTCGGACAGGCAAAATATGGTTTCATTCAATCAGCCGAAGCGAAGCCTGACCGAGATCTCCTCTGAAGGCTTTGCAGCTTAAAATACCCTTGGGGGCGGGGGCGACATAGCAATTGTTTCCAAAGACAGGAAGACAGTCTGGCAAATAAAAAGGCCTGGGTGACATTTCCCCCCAAAGATATATGTAGATGGAAAGTGAGATCTACAACAAAATGTTGCAGCGCTGCTGCTCAGTGTTTCAGGGCACCTCCATACGGCCAGCAATTTGAAGAAAGGATCTAAGCACAAACTGGGAAATTTAGCTTTGTGCCGTTAAAGAGCCCATGCAGATTGCTGGGGTTGTGGGGTTTGTGTTTAACAATAATTATTATAACAGTCAGAGACCAGCTTGTGGGGTTTGTGTGTTTTTGCAGGTGTGTCCTGCAACATGCCATTGGTGCATTAATACTGCATTAATGTGGATTTATACTGGACTGTCCACACACCACTGCACACTTTATTAGTCGTTCCATAAGGCTACCCCAATGCTTCCACATTAGTGCCATCTGGAGGGGCGCTACTGCACTACAGTGCAACAAAAGCAAAAGGGCAACGAAAATCCGGGACAGCTGTGGCACGAAAAGTTATAGCAGAAGCAAATGGTATTGAAAGTGTGATCTCTTATAACTGAGACTGAATCTCAGGGTCGTGGGTTTGAGTCCCGCGATGGGCAAAAGATTCCTTCATTGCAGGGGGTCGGACTAGATTACCCTTGCGGTTCCGTCCCACTCTATGGTTCTGTGCTTGTCTAGGATTGCCCCTAAGGCACAATAAAATGGACACCTGGAGGTTCCCAAAGCGTACACCCTTTTAAAACGAAACTGACTTTTGCAGTTAGGAAAGTAGTGTGGGTATACATTGAAAAGTGTGGGGA